GCAGTTAATGAATTTAACCAAGAATAAAACTGAATCATGACTGGACATGAATTATACAAGTGTGCTAGGGTTACTGGTCACACTAGCAAGTTTGTTTTTCAGTGGTTTAAAAGCTGCTACAGGTAATTTCTATTTCATTTGTGCATAATTCTGTATTTCTTGTTTGCAATATACTTTTGAATTTGTACGTTGCACATGTTTTATGTTGTATCTGTAAGTTTCATCTCCTAGCAATGTCTGGTTTCAATGTTAGACTAGTGAATGTTTAGTTTCTTTTAAGTTCCTTAGTCTGTTTTGCATGGGTAAATTTCAGTGACCATTTCATTACAAAAAGCTGTTATTATCAAGCAAAGATATTTGCTGGGCTGTGTAAGGAGAGATTTTCCATGAATTCTTTATTTGCCTCGAATATCATATATAGCTTTCAAATATTCGCTTTGACGTTGTTCTTAGTCATTTATAATGAATTTGCAAAACGAGGTTTTAGCCCCGAAAAAAGGCTCGTGCCATTTTACTTTCCTTTGTTTCATTTGTTTGTGTTCACTAAGTAATAATCATAGAAAAGCCAACAGTGTTCGTTAACAAACAAAAGTAATTGCTCGTTCTCTTTTCAATTATATACATTTTACGCCAACGTTGACTCTTGAAAGAATACTTAATTTCTTAATAATGGTTTATTTGACTTCAGTCTATTTTTCGTGATTTAACTACCAGACGACATCTATTCATAGTAACGCCTTTTGATACAGGTGTACCTCGTTCTAATTGCAACTTACTTATATTTATTTGCAAAAGTATATTTCATTGAGTTGTTAGTTTAAGAGAGGTGATAACCGAATTTTGGATATGAAAGGTTTTGCTGTCTTGTAATTTTAAAAATAGATCGGTTTTTGTTTAAGGTGAAAACCTCCAATTAGTCTGCGCTTTTCCTGTTTAAACAGCCGATAGCTGGACTTGCAATTTCATTCATATTGTAACACTTTGTACATAAACGCTGTTTTGCTGACCTGGCTAGGTCTTTGTCTCAGTACTTTTACTTTCTAAAATAGCAACAGTAACAAAAGATTTCAGGTTTATAATAGAATTTGTATTTAGTTTTCATCTAGCTCTAAGTGATTTCTGTTTATATTTCTATTGTATTCTTTTGTCTTCAATGGTTGTAAAAATCATATATAAGTAAGTTAGTTTTCACTGATTTTTCGATTACATCGCAGATTATTTCGCCGTGTCCTACCCGAGTTATTGCTGTTGATCCGCCGAAGAATAAACGCTGTTAGAACCAAGTTTTGTTCTGTTTTATCTACTGCCGTACCAGTTAGTGGTCTGATCCCGGACCTCGAGAGAAGTGACGGCTCTTCCCCGCAAGCGAGTTACCATTTGAGTCTAGTTTTCCCCAGTTTTATCGTGAGTCAAGCACCGAGTTTCCGTTGAGCCTTAAATTCGTTTAAAAGTGGAAAAACCTTCCGTCACACCTGGTTATTTGTGTTCTTGCAACCTCTTTGTTTAGTTTTTCAAGGGCAGTGAATTTTATTTTGTTCACATACTCATTCTTCATTGCACAGTAGTATTAGTGTGCGAGAAAAAAATACTGATATACATTTTTATTATTTTTTGAATTTACCCGGAATTAAGTTTTTACAAACTGTTCAACTGTAATGCTTAACATTGGAGAAACCTCAATAAGGTGTTGAGAAGAAGAATACCAACTTGTAACAGCAAGTGGTAACGTTTGCGCATGCGTCAAGCTTGCTGGGAAGCTCTTGTTGACGGGAAATCGTAATGGCCGAAAGCCGTTCTGAAGCACTTTCAAGGGAGATTTTTTTGCATACCCAATCGACAACAGACATGTCTTATAGACCCGGCTTATAGACTGGATACTTTGGCTAAGCCATGTTGAAGTGTCATGTATGGGAGAAGGACCATTTAGGTGGTTAATTTTCGTCCATTTGGCTCCTCTGATGAAGCAGATAAAGCGTTCACGAGATCGTTTGTTGTGATATGTTGATTTGTTGACATTCAAGCGGTCACGGATTTCTGGGTTATCGTCCACGATCTGCAGAGCTGCCTAACATTTAGGTAAGATATACCCCTTGATTTACCTTGTCAAATGTGGAGCAGCATCATCGAATGTTATGTGTTAAAATTATAGCAGCGTGAATTCAACGTAATTTATGTGACCCTGGTATTTTTGTAGTATTTGACCTTGACCGTACAGCGAGATCCAGTTATATATCCCACACAAGCGACTAAACAGGTTAAACTTCTCTTTCGGTCACTCCGTATTTTCACTTTTAATGGTTAATTCAAAGGGGGGAAGTTCGAGTATTTTGATACTATTTAGCGGCATGAAATCAACAAGCAAATTTCCTACTCTTACAAGTAAGGCCATAGTCGGATGTTTCCTTCCATTTTCGAAAATTTGCTTTTCTGGTTTACATTGGTGCTCTATGGCGATTACTTATTCTCAGAGATTAAGAGATCGAGGTGGTGGATTGTGAAATATTATTTGCTAAAACTTCGTTAAAGATGGACAAATTTTTCTTGTCCTTTTCAACTTTGTTTTTAGATTTTTCGTTAACATGTAAAAGTATATCCCAACAAAACTTATTTGTAAGAGCATTGTTTCGGAACACTCTTTCATTCTTGAATGTTTGATTTTGCATCCAAGGGGGGCAACACTGATGAATTTGCGTTTTAATAATCATGCACTGTAAGCTCTCAGATTCACTGACAAGAACCCTCACCATTTGGAAGATGATTTTATTCTGGTAATTATTCCATGATGATTTGTTTATACATACAAAATTGGCGCCTAAAAGAATTGTAATGTTTTGCTTAAAATGTTTAAATAATGTCTTGAAACATAACTGAAATCGATGTAAAATATGAAAAGACACATATGAAAAATTAAAATAGATGTCATTTCTTGAGTTTGGGTCTTCAGTTTTATATCATCTAGTCAAAAAAGGAAACATACAATTTCCTAGCCCTGGGTGGGATATCTTTGAAATTTTTATCAGTCGCAGAATTAGGGCACTGCACCTGCTTTGGCCACTGGTGGTTAGGATGGGATATCTCTGAAAAGTAATCACTGGCAGAATCACTGCACTAAGGTTGCACATCTCTGAAAAACAGAGCGTTCCTGAACCATAACTGAAGTGAAATCGTATTCTTGTAAGGGGATTGTCGCAATAACCGCAGTTATGACTATATAAACAGACTAGCATTTAGAATTTTTTTTCACAGCGTTTTATTCAAATCGCGTCGGACGTTTTTTGTACTCGGTCACAACTTACATGAAGAGATTTTTTCCCAGTTATCCAGTGTTTAATAGAGGAGTTTTGCAGCTGTTACACAGAACCCCATCGACGTGTCCGCGCGCAAGCCAAAACACGAAACAATAATCATTCATCGACCACAAACCGCGCAAAATTGTGAATGATCTGCGACTTATTAGCCTTGAGACCAATCTCGCATATTACAAAGAAGATTTTGTCTTATCTGCACTCCACAAAGATAAAACAGATGACTAAGACGATCGTAATTTTTAAAAGAGGCGCCATTTTTCTTTGCTGCATTCGCTGCGATCCAATACCACCACAAACCTCCGTCCAGCGGCTCGCGCATACTCGCAACGTTACCACTTGCTGTTCCAACTTGTACATCAACAAATGCAGACTTTAATAGTGAAAACAGATCATCTGGCCTTGAAACTGGCCAGCAAAAAATAACTGCCATAGCTGATCATGAATTACACAACTTGATATTAAACTGAAGAGGAGAACCGATGATAGTAGTCTTAAAATAATGTTAGTGCTATCATCTGGGTTGTGATGCCAATTTCTTACCAAGTCAAGAAATTTAGAAGTCACGGAGATGAAAATTATATTCAATACAGATATTTGTTCGCAGGGGAAGAAAATTAAACACAACAGAAAACGAACGTGAGAAAAAATAATTTGTTCCTTCGCTATTGTTTGCAGCAAATGAATGCCACGGGAAAATGGCTAACGGTCGCTGGATAATCTCTCTGACGGTCCAGTATAATGTCCGCCATCTTGTTTTGTCTCTTTGGTAGTACCCAGACCTTTGCATCACAGCTAGATCGTTCGACCCCGCTCGTTTTAACGCCCTAGCTCCTTACGCCCTGACATAAGCTATCGTGCAAGCCGTGAAAAAGCACCAGCCGACCGAAAACAATAAACAATAATTTTTGCTTTAAAACACCGATTTACTAATAACTGATGGCTTGCTTATCAATCTTAATCGGAGCCCCCGAAAAAAAGGTTCGAGAGGCCAGCGGTCAGGGCGGGACTTGAACTCGAGGCCTCCGGATTGCAAATCCAGCGTTCTAACTGCTCGGCCAGGATGACTCCTTCCGCCTAAGATAGAAACAAGACGCTCTCGAAGTGTAGACTTGGACGTCGTTGTATCATGCGTGTGTGAGGATTTTTTGTGTCTGGCACGTGTGAGTGCCGCAATGTTGTTAAATTGTTAAAGGTTGGTTGAAATGGTTGAAAAAGGAGACGTGGAGCCAAGGTAGACGTTGCTTAGTATGTATATAGGTCTCCTAACGTCAACTGTGTCTGGCACGTGTGAGTGCCGCAATGTTGTTAAATTGTTAAAGGTTGGTTGAAATGGTTGAAAAAGGAGACGTGGAGCCAAGGTAGACGTTGCTTAGTATGTATATAGGTCTCCTAACGTCAACTGGCCCACCGAATTGCGAACGCGCATAACTACCAAATAACAAGTAACTAGAAATACGTGTGTCGCAGAACCTCGCGAAGCTCGGGCGGGAGGCCCATAAAATGTCAGGGATGGAAGGGGGAGAGAATTGGACTAAATTTTGTAGCTTGGGAGAGCGAGTTTCCACACTGGTTCTAATATTGGAATGTGAGATGTAGTTAATCGCCTTTTGGTTGGAGTAAATTTCAACCCAGTGCTCTTATCAGAAAAAGGATTTTCTGGGATTTAAATGGGGTTGGTGTTGTTAAGGAAGGGTAGCCAATGTTTCATAGGTTCCGTGTTCACCCCATTTGACCCTCCTGCATGTGTAATTATATTAAAAGAAAATGGGTGTGATAGTGAATAACTGCAGGCGAATATGCAGCTAACACATGCTATCTGTAACGTGTAATAATAATTACTCGTGAAGTGTGTCATTAGTAGTGAGTGGATGAATTGGTAGGAGATAAATAACAAGTAAATGTTGGTAAAAAAATAATTAGAGCGGTTTTCATTTGAGTGTCGAAAAGTAATTGGTTTTGCACTTTCTACACGACGCGATTGGCTTAAAAGACTCGCGCCACCTTTTCATCCAATCAGAAGTGAAACCAAAGCCAATTGTGACGCGCTCGCATGCATTTTCCCGCGCTTTGCGTCAGCCACATGTAATTACTTCGAGTTTTGATTGGTTCAATGTATTGTCTGTGTCCTATGTGATTGGCCAGAGTAATTACTTTGGTTTTGGTTTTACGACACTCAAACGAAAACCACTCTATTGTTAAGTGAATTACAGCAAGAGAGTGTTTGCTCCTGTTGTAGTACATAATCACACTTGACAACTAATTTTTTGTAACAGTAAGGTGTAAACTTAATCACTTACACTAAAATAGAAATTACATTTAGCAAGGTGATATTTTTCCTATTTGACCCCGTTTTTTCCTTTTTCCCCACTGCAGAGCCTGGTCCCAGGCTATGTCATTAAGGACGCAGTTGAGTAGAACTATGAAAGTGATCATGACTCATGATTACTGAATATGCGGTACCCTCATTAGCACTCAATTATCACTGTAAAAAATACCAAATCATTTATGAAAGTGTTTATAGTTATTTGTGTACATGCATGAGAAACAAATACTCATGCAAGAGTGAATTTGCATGAAATGTCCACATACAAGTAACGTTGAAAGTGATCAGTATTTCAATTCTCAATATGATGAGCTTGTTGAGACATGGTTGTCAGAGGCATAGTTTTTTAAATTCCCAGACTGACAGTCAAATGTACACTTTCCCTGACCAAATGAATTTGTCCAGATATTAATGATTGCAAATTCCAGTCAAAACTTCGTGTACTGGACACAGATGATGTAAAACAAAAGACTTCTTTGTTTTCTGTTCAGGGAAAATTTGCTTGGTATGTTTTCATGATTTTTTGTTCTTTTGTTTTATGTCATCTGTGTCTGGTACACGAAAATAAATGCCCAAACTCCCATCACAGCCATCCTGTCCACCAAAGTAATACATGAATTTATCGTGAATGTAAAGTACAGAATGCATTAATCTCGTAGGAAACCCTATATCTGCTTGCCGTTTGATTTCTTGATACAATATTCTGCCAATGGAACATGTTTAACTCCGGTGAAGATACAGGAATATGTCACCTCCCTGAGGCTTCTTTGAAAGAGTTAACTGTAATAAAGCTAACTGTAAAACCCACTGTTGGTCATGGTGGAAAGGCTGATCGGCTGTCCCGAGTCCGTTGAAAAGATATTATTGACATGCATAATTCTTGCTGCCTATCGCTGCATCGAAGAAGATAATTTTGACTGTAGACTTTAAGCGTTGCCTGATCCAGTCTCGTCGCTTTTGGAAGCGTTGGCAGTCGGTGTTCCCTCTCTTCATCGGTTTCGTTTACAGTGTAATTGTAGTATTTTGTCGCTACCTCTGTACACGTTTGTGATCGCTTCGTTTACGACGTCCCCTTCGCTGTGCTGAGCGATGGTCTCATTGCTTCGCGGCTGTCTTCTTCGATCCGCTCGCCGATGAATTTTAATCGGCGTTCCCCAGAGGAGTTTCAATGAAAATCTTCCTCCGCAAGGATTTACACCCCATACTACTTGCTGTGCTGTCATTTGCATGGGAAATTGTTCGTGATTCACCGATGGTAAACATTGTTTCACAAAAAACATAACAGCTTTTCATGGAGTAGTGTGGGAGCTGCTCGTTAGGTCTCTCCTGATTGGTCGCAGAGAACAATGACTAATACGGGCAGGGGAGAAAAACCGCTGATTGGTTAAAAAAATTCCACTGCGAGCATGCTCTAGCGCCTTCCGCTGACCATATGCAGATTCAGTTGGTTCAAAAGAATGAGCGATCCGAAGGAGCTACAATCGAGCGATCCTGAATGTGGGATATTTGGCCGAACTTTGCAGAGCACTGTGTTGAAATACATTACTGAAAGGTCTTGTATACAATGGTATCATTCTGTTCACTGTGCCCCTGATGAGAATGACAGACCTTCTGAGCAGACTAAAATTTTTAAATTAACATCAGTCTATGTTCCCGTTTATATTAGTGAGCTCACTAGAACTTAATAACAGTGTAACAATGATAGCTATTTATCAATTTAGTTCTTGTACCATAGCTAAATGAGTATTTACCTCTTAATTAATGCTATACTTTCTTATTAAAAATAACTAACGTAATTGTGGCTACCTTTCCCGCAGCTATATGTAGTTTACGCTCAATGAACTATTAAATGTGTGGTCATTGAACCACTGGTGTGGTTATTGATCTGTTGTGTACTTATTGAACTGCTGTGTGGTTATTGAACTAACAAAAAGGAAAACTGGCAGAATGAAAATGCGCCTTGGTCATCGGCGGCAAAGTCTATGTTGCCTGGAAACGAAAAATGCTTCATGACGTCATTGGCGGACACCAAAAGCCTCGAATTTCGCAGCTGGCTTCTTAGCCAGCTGCGAAATTCGAGGCGCGGTTAGCAGACTGTGCGCGCGCTTCGCGCGCGACAAGATTATAAAGTCGCTACGCTCTGAACAAGTGCGTTCTTTCCTTTCATTTTTGGAAAGGCAAAATAACAGCACCACTGTAAAACAAAAAAGAGGCCTTTGGAATTACGGTTGAACTTCTATTAAGCGGCCATCCTCGGGGGTACCGCCATGTGGCCGAAAATTAAAGTTTGGCTGCTCAATAGAAGTTCGACAAAAAATAAACTTTAGAAGAAACATTACTTTATTTTGAAACAAGCTTGTGATGGGCCCACAATCAGTCATCACCCTCTACCTCGGATTGTACTTTCATTCTTAACACAAAGCCAAAAAGTAAGTGTATCAAGCGCATGGTGGCCACTTAATAGAGGTGACAACAATTGGGTAACTCTTGGTTCACTAAGCAAAGGAGTAATTTTTAAGAAACTCACCCCTAGATGACTGTTTTGCAGCACTTGAAGAGGCGAGTGTGTTTATCGACTGATTCATCTCTTCCAGATGATCTTTAATTTCTTTTGCTTCCTGACAAACTGTTGTCTCCATCAAATCTGTTCCTTCATGAACTACTGTCTGAGTGTAAAATTCAAAGTGTCATAAGTCACCATATCTGGGACAAAAAAGAAGTTGCTTTATATTGTACTAGATCAGTAAACTTAAAATAACCCAGAAACTCCTTGGCTTTCATAAAGCATAAATCTATTGAATCTGAAAACTTTAAAGTTCTCTCTACAACGGAAATGTCAATTTGTGTTTGGCTTTTGTTTTGTCGGTCTTTTTTTGTTTACTTTTAACCCTACCTCCAAACGACTTATCCGTTCACTGACTTCATCTATGGATTTCTTGATCTCCATATCATTTTTATACCATGCCTCAAGTTCTTGCACATTTCGTTCATCTTCAGTTGTAAGAGGATCTGTCAAATATTTAGCAATGGCTCCTTTCCATGCCGTTTTCCTTGTAGAACTGATCTGCCCAGCAATCCTCACGAGAGCTTCGCTGATTTCTTGCCAAAGTGTTTTAAACTCATTATCTCTGATTGCCATGCCTTGGTTCACGTGACCATACACAGAGTTTCGGTAAAACTTTATTCTTGCTATATCAGCTGTTAAACTGTGATCTGCACTTAGTGGTAGTGCATCCCATCCTGTGGAGGGAGGGGTCAGGTTGCATATTGTCCTCAGCAAACGGAATAGCAGGGTGACATCAAAATCTGCTGACTTGCCGTACACCCCTGGGGAAGGACAAAGACAGTGCCACTGTGGCATGGTGAGTTTTGCAGCTTTTAGTTGGTTCTTTGTTACTGGATTGCTGAGAATTGTAGGAAGATTACTTGGAGGACATATTGAGTCAAAAATCTCCCTCAGTAGGCTGGTCCCCCCACTTATTAAAAGTCGTGTAATGCGCTGGAAATTTTCTTTTCCACTCGTCGAACGAAGGATTTCTTCTGGATCTGGAGCGGCCGTCATTTTTTTCTCTTACACTTATGAATCACTGATCATATTACTAGGAAATGGGATGCAAACATAACTGAGTTATATTTTGTTTAAATAATTAGCTTGAAGCTTTTTAACTCTTAAAACATCAGTCTCTACTGGTTAGGTGCAAATTAATTTTTCCCTATTTTTTGAGAAGCCACACGAGACCCTCCAGTCAGAGAGTCACGTTTAGCTCTATAACTAAGCCTAAGTCAGTATAGGTTATGCGCTTGGATCTGACCGACCATTTGAAAGTTTTGTTATTTTGTTTCGGCTAAACGAGTCAGGGAAATAATGTAACCAAAATCAATAAAAGATCTACAGCTATAAAGAAGCACTAAATAAAGATTTAAGCACATCTCAGTTTATTTCAGTCATATATACCGTCTTCAGTTTTTCTATACCTGCGCAGGACATCTGTATTACAGTTTTTAGCCTTTAGCCAGACGATCTTGGGGTTTCATAACGTGTTTGGAAGGAGAGATTGTGTGACGAGCCAAATAATGTCTATGTGGGACGAGAGGACCACTTAGTATTGCTTTTAATGTCTTGGTCTGCAAACTATTTATCTTATTTTTACAGAGACCTGAAAAAGCTCTAGATGTTCTAAAAGAACACCAAGGGCTGTTTTTAACGTAGTCTGCGTTTTATACCTGGCTTGTAGGGGCCTCTAGTCCCTGTTTTAATATAACCAGTCTACAGTCGGTGTTTTGGCGGCCATTGCATTAAATAAATGCAAATTTGTTACACACATACGATATTCCTACAAGACCCTTTTGACCTGATACAAATATGAATACACATTTAAGACTACAGTATCTCGAGTTGACCAATTTAATTCGCTGTACTCGCTATTTTAACCAAGTCAAGAAATCAAATCTTGGCCCAAATCTCAAATGGGAAGTGATGCGCAGCTAGCTTGACGAGCCGATATTTCGCGATATTTCGCGTTCATTATTCCTCTTGAAAGCGTCTCTCAGGGGCACCAAACGACGGTTTCCTCCTAAATACATTGAAAACACTTTTAAGGCTATCAAAAGTACTTTTACAGCTCTCAGGGTCGTAACAAGGTATATGGGATTAGGGATCAACACTGGAAAATGGAGTGGGATCAGGGATCACAGCACCGGGATCTGGGATCACAAGCCGTGGGATCGGGATCAGCATTACAATAAAGGGATCAGGGATCCGGTTGTCCGACAGAACAACAAAGACCACAACATTCTGAAATGGTCTTAATTGGACGAACCTGCCAACATTTTTCAGTTCAGTTGTATTTTTGCTGTAACATTTCGATCCGGTACTAAACTGTACTAATGCAATCAGATCTGCTGGACTAGCTTGTCTGGAAAACGTGTGGATACTTTCCTTGAATTTAAAGATATTTATCCCATGTTGTCTTTTTTAGCACATTACCTACTCTCTGCTTGTTGACCTATTGACTCAGTTTGTTGGAGCTAAGATGATCTAACCTGCGAAAACATCCGTTTCTCCTCGCTCGTCGTCGCTGAGGACGTTTCGCGCGGAGGAACAAAACGTTCTCAGCGACGAAGAGCGAGGAGAAACGGATGTTTTCGCAGGATAAAGATTACCGAGCTAAAAAATTGGTCAAAGTCTTTGCATGCCGAATACGGATTCCGGAAAAAAAAATGTACATAATGGACATTGTCCTTTACCAGAGTGGCTAATTTCTCTCTTTCTAAACCTGTCGTGTGACGATGAAGCCAGTCGTCCTAAGCAAATATTTAACAAAGATGTCTTGTTATCATAGTACTTTCTTTTTGCACTTGGTATTTGACACTTTGCATGTTGTACTGATGAGCCTCAAGAGACCATATATGGTAGCCTTTATACTAATATTTCTTTAACAGATCCCAAAAATATCATACAAACATTCACTTTCAAGCCACTATATGCAAATTACTTTCAAACGTAAAGTAGCTAGCGTCATGAAAGATATAGAAACTTGATGAAGCTTGCGGCTCTGATTAAATATTCTGCCAGGGATAAGCTCTGATCTGTGATAAAAAGCTAGCAAGTCGGATCGTCCAAAATCAAGGAAACACAATCCCTGTAGTCTGGAAATAAATTACTGCAAATTGTGAAGCCATGATAGACTCTTCAAATTTTCCACACCTGTTTTGCGAAGAAAGCTTAGGAAAGATTAAATTTAGAGCTTTTCCAAAACGTGTCGGTCCAAGAATTCTATCACTTGAAAGCGTTGATTACTTTAGAGCAAGTGAACACTACTGAGTGGTCGAAAAAAAATAAGAATCTTAATTAGGAAAATTGCGATGGTCGGGTGTTGTAAACTTTCACTGTATGCAAATGAGTCTTGTAATGAGCATGCGATTTATTTTCGGCGATGATTGAATTGACGTGCCATGTAAATCACGCGACTCAACTGGAGACCTGAATGCCGCTGTAAGCGCGTTCTTGTTTCAAGGAAAATCGGCTTTTACTAGCCAATTAAAGTTGGTTGTGTCAGCTATCCGACTGAAAAAAAGATATATCAAATGGCAATTACAATGTATACACTGTGCAGTGTAGATAGTAGGCTTCATTAGACAAATCTACTTTTAATTAAAACTATGAATTATTGTGCCAGTCGAGGAAAGATCTAGTTGTACCGTGGACATAAGGTCGCTAATTATGGAACTGCTTAATTTGTTTCTCCAGCGATGAACTACTTGATGTAGAAAAAAATCAATTCGTGCAACGTGAAAATCGAATCGGTTGAAATGAAAACTAATGCCGAGAATCACTGAGTGCGAACGTTCAAATACTAGAAAGAAACTGCATTGACAATCAATACTCGGTCAGAGAAAATTCAATTTACAAAAGATCGAGACTCAACTTTCTTACCGTCTGCTTCATGCTTGCATCGCATCCGAGCAAAGTAAATACACTAAATAGCGACCAAGGGCGGAAGTGTGCGTGTGGCGCGTGAGGATTCGTGCCGGACCGAAACGAGACTTTGAGCTGGTCGTTCCCAGGCAACTATCCTTGCAATGGCATCTCATCCTAGGAGGTCTAAGTTCGAAGGGAGAGCGTACATAACGTTACGATAAAATTTTACCTTTAAACTGAAAGCCTTGTCTGCAGTCAAGAGAGGAAAGGTCAGAGAGAAGAAAACAATGTTGCGAGAGTTGTTATAACTCTCTCTGAGGGGTAAATTAGTTTCTATCTTCTTTCTTTCTTCAGTTTATTTGTTGGTTATGAAACCATGAAAGTACCTCCCTCATAACTGTCCATATTTTCAAAATTCATCGTTCCTTAACCTTCCCAGTTTTACAGTGACATCTCGGTAGAGAAGTTGAAAAATAAAAAGCATGCACATGTATGTGTCACATATGAAACTCTGTCAACCACAAGTATTATACCACAAAAGTGACTGACCATCAGAAACGTTAATAAATTTAAGTGCTCACTTGTCACAATGGCGACAGCTTTCAAAACATGAACTATCTAACTTAAATCAATGCACTGCACTTGAGGGAATTCAACACACAACATTGCAGTATAAGTTAACAATAATTTTTTAGACATTATTTTTTGGACACTGGTTGCTTGAAATAATAACTGCAGCGGATTCCGAGGCAGAAAAAAAGAAATATATTTTATTTGTTGGTCAATAATTAACCTTGCCTTAGTCCCGAGGGTGTCCCCTGAATAGAGGTCCTACTGTATGATATGACATCTTTAAGTAATTAGTTCTTATATCTCCTTTTTTAGTTTTGTGTTTTTGTAATAATAGAAAACCTTTACTTATATTTACCTTAGTCTATGCCAATGACAACTCTTTGTAATTCCTGTGGATATTCCATTTTCTGTACATTCTTTCAAGGCAACCCCTCCATTTTGACCACAGCCACTAATTTAAAGTGCTTTTCAAAAAATATACTTGTAACCTCCATGTGATGGCCATTTCAAAGCAAATGGCTCACTTTGGGTGTCAAGTAAGAGAGAGCTGACTGTTATAATTTTATGATTATGAACCAAATCAGCTGCGATATTGCCTGTAAACACAATATTATAGTGCTCAGGGGCGTTGATCGAGCTGACCTCAGTGTGGATAACACTATCCGCTGCCGGATATTCCCACAATTGATTTCCCTGCTATTATCCTGTGGATAGCGCTATCCAGCGTTTAAATAACCAGGACCTGGTGGTATTTACGGTGTCTGATTAAGGAATTGTCAGCTTTGATTGACGAAAATTCCCTAGGTCCTATGGAGTATGTGGCCAGTAAAAGCCAGTTATGCCTTTGTTATAGGAAAAACAGCTTCAAATAAAAGCTTGTTGTTCTAGGAAAAAGCTCATTGGCCAGCCAATCACGATCGGAACTTTTCTTATCTTTACGTCACGTGAATGGACAGGTTGGACAGGTGCTATTTATAATGGTGATACCATATTGACGACCGTGTTTAATATTATGCATCATCTGTCCTCTATTTTTGTTTGATAAGCACAGGTAGCCAATAATGCCTAATCTCAAAGCTAATAAAGGGTGTTTAGTCGTGCCGCTGTTGTGCTCTTTATAATAGTGATGTATATTGACGACCGTGGTTAATATTATGCATTACCTGTCCTCTATTTTTGTTTGATGACCCGGCAGGTAGCCAATAATGCCTAATCTCAAAGCTAATAAAGGGTGTTTAGTCGTGCCGTTGTTCTATTTATTTCATTTCCATTTTAGTTGTGGAAATGCATTTTATTAATGTGACGATAGAGAACAACACTAAACTGTAATCAAGCAGAGATTTTTTAAAATAAAATTTACATTTTATTTACATCTGAGACATGTTATAATTAAAACTGTATCCCGTGGATTGCCAGTTCCAGGAAACTCGACGCATTTTTCCCGGAAACCTTTTTTCCGTCCTTACGTTTTTTTTGTGCATGAATTTTCCGCGGAAAATTTCCGAGAATGAAATCAGTGAAAACAACTCATTCCAAGAAAATCGTTTAAAGCTGTTTACGTAACAACT